AAAGAAGGAGCTAAACTTTTCCATAGCTAACGAAGGAAAAATTCAAGAAAATATTCTTATGGAGGTTGTGAGATATCAGAAAAATATCCAGAAGAGATAAAGCAGGAGATGGAAATGGAAATAAATCCAAGAATTCTATAACATCAAGAGCTAATTCACAGAAAAGGATAGATTTGGATAAGCAAAAAATACAAAACACGACCAAATGATTCTTCAGGCTGATAAGGGAGGAGCAACAGTGGTAATAGACAGGAAATAGTACACGAATAAAATGGAGAGTATCCTAAGCGACCGGAATATTTAACAAATGCTAAGGGGGGATCCGACCATGAAGATCAACAGAACACTGAAGAATATGCCCGAGGAAATGCATAATAATGGGGAAATCGATAGATGGATGATGAAATCTTTAATAAAAAATGACGCAAAATCACCGACAACCTACGGACTACCGAAGATACACAAGGAAGGAAACCCTCTAAGACTAATAGTCAACAACAAGCATGGAGCAATAAACAAACTAGCGAAATTCATTTGCTTGAAGCTCAATAAATTAAATGATACATTCTCGAACACCAAGAAGAATTCATAGGAATTTTTTCAAAGGATAAAAAACATGGGGCTGGTGGGTACGGAACTGTTGATAAGTTTTGACGTACAATTAACAAACACAAAAATCTCATGCGAGAAGGCGGTAAACGCCTTGCTGGATATCTTGGAACGGGAAGAGGATGTCCTGGATGCAGAGCGGATACAGAATGGGTCTTTAGCATGACTGGTCAACCTGATAGTAAAGAACACATATTTTGTACTTAACGGTAGTTCCTATAAAAAATATTTGGACTAACCGTGGGCTCTTAACTCTCATATCTTTTTTCAAATATGTGCAAGGATAAAGTGGAAAGGAGATTTGAGAAGTCACTGCTGCAAAAAAGTATGGTTATGTGATACCTGGATGACTACTTAGCACCTTAGCAGAATGGTAAGGAAAACTTATCTGAATTCCTTAATTTTATGAACCAGCTTGATAAAAGAATTAAAGTAACAATGGAGATGGAGGAGAATGAGTGACTACCTTATCTAGATGTTGAGAACATTCACCCAATCGGGATACTCAGGAGACCATTCAGAAAGAAATCATCACAACTACAGATTCAAGGTCGGAATGATGAGGAGTTTGATAATAGGAAGCTGAAGACTGATGTAATCAGTTCTGGGACGAAGAGTTGGACAAACTGACTCGGGTACCCCAGAGAAACTATCGAAAGCAATATAGAGGTCACAAAGAGCAGACTTTAAGTCGAACTTTATGAAAATAAGATCAGGAATAGGGAGAACGATCAAAAGTAGATATGCTTTCCCTCTTGCGAATTGAGTCAAAAATGGCGACCGTTGCTAAGAAAATGGAATATCCAGGCGATAACAGCACTCCTCACCAGTCTGTCGACACAATAAAAGAAGGTTAACAAACTATATTACTCGCGAGCTTATCGGATAAAATGGAGCAATTGTGAGCAAAGTATATTGATAAAACAGGAATAAAAATCAGCATATGAATCAAGTAACATCAAAGACTACATAACCATGGACATGAAAAGATCCGAAATAGCGGAACACATTGCACGAACAGGGCACTAAATAGACTGGAAATAGACAGAAAGGCTAGCTGAACATGGTGAGAATACAAGAAAATGTAGGATTAGAGGTTATTGATATCCTGATTGTAAAAAATCTAATTATTAAGGATGTAAGGATTAGCGAAAACTTTGTATATTGCTTAAGCAAACTCGGAGAACATAAAAAAGAAGACAACCAGATCAAGAAGATAGCGAAGAGGCCACAAAGAAGCAATCATATTTCAGGAGACGCTTATAATAAGCCTATTCAAAATAAGTATAAGCCCAACATTTTGGGGCTAGTACACAAGAGAACAGGGCAAAGGAAGTCATAGACTTGACATTATGGATAGTAGCACGAAAGATGCGGCGGAAACTATATCTAGTTGGCTAACAGCAGAGGTCTTTGATCATTGACGTGACCCGGTACACGACTTGATAATCGAAACTGGGAGTCTTCTATTAAAGGCTTGAGGCAGAGTGTGGAAAATAACGCCTCGAGTAGCACAGATGGAGTGATCGAGTGAAATCACCAAACCAGTGAGATTAGAGAGGGATCCTACACGACAAGAAGGAGACTCAGATATAACTTGGAAGAAGGGGATTATAGAGTGAAAGAGGTGACTCAAATAAACATTACAAACACAAGGGGGTGGGTGGGGAGGGTGAGAAAGCCAGCGTGGAGCGTGAATAGATCCTAGGAAATCCGATCAAAAGGGCACATCAGAACGGCGCTTAAATAATTAAGTGAGAAATTGTTATAGGTAAGGGTGATACTAGGAAATATGATAGGCGAATACTCCAGGACATAAGGAGAGATAGCATAAATATTTAGCTGACAATTGGTAAAAGGATTGATTGCACTCGTCTCGTTGACCAGTTATGATGTAGTGCTAAGATTGGCAAGGTTTACTAACGATGCCGACTACGATGTCGGCGAAACGTCTGTGAATGCACCAACTCTACGGTCCGACTCCGGAAATTATCATGCATATTATGGGCTCCAGACAAGGCGTGCTACTCTAGGTTCTCCTAAAGGTGAGAATACAAAGTCAAACAACTTCTATACAACGAAGGGAGAACGTGAGCATATCAAAGACCATCTCTTATTGGTCTTCGTATCTTCGAAGAACTAGATTATAGTCCCAAAAATATGCCAGTTTACATTAACTTTTAAAATTAAATGGCGACTTTAGAAAATGTCTAGTATGGTTCTTTTAAAAATATTATTTTAAAGAAATTTCGTTACGAGCATAGATGAGTGGTCAGTTTTCTGTCTCAAAAGGTGAACAATCACATTTTGCATTAAAAGAAAGTAAAGGGTAAAGAAAGGGCCTATATCTTTTTCGAATCTATCTTATTCTTAAACAAGGAGAAAGCCAAGAGGTTCTTAAAAACATTATGTCAAGGTTTTTCATTTTACCTTTAAGGTATACAGGCAAAAGCCCACAGTAACCATTAGGTGAGATAAGTATTAGCATGATTTCCAAAAAGTAAAGCTCAAAATACTGCAATTTATAAATAGGTATTAATTTCTAAAATCCGACATGCGATGTATATATGGTATCGGTAATTTGACTGTACAACGAATAAATTGTGGTATTGTATTATCAAGCTTGCTAAATAATGGCATTCTCTTAGGTAGGAAAAATTTGTAACGCGTTCGGGCCTCCTCAATACTTAAGAACCTACTTAAGGTAGCTTTGTCGCAGTTTAGATTATAATACTCCTTTATCGAGAGTTTGGCTGAGGGACTCCCCAACTGCTATGTAACTCAAATAGCCTCGGTTTCATGTAAAATTAAACTCTAAGTCAATAATATCCAGATTAAATTCCAAAAACCATAATCGAATCAGTCTTCATGAATTATTTTCTCAATAAATCTTATCTAGTCATAAAATCAGACAGACTCACAACAAAAATACTTCTATGGATGGTCCACGGACGAACACTTGAAGCTCTTAGAGGGTTAGTATCAACGGGAGGATTCGAAGTGTCATTCAAATGAAGAGCGCGAATTGTTGACTGGCCCTCCGGCAAAGTGGATAGTAAAGCATCGAAGGCAATAGCAGCAGTCTCGGGAGACATGGAAGCAGGGGGAGGCATCGGTATAGGAGATAGTTCATCAAGTGACATCTTAAAAATCAAATAGAAAGGAGACAAAATGAGACAATAAGCAAGGAAATAAAATAGTCATATCAAGTCGATTGCATGCAGTGGCCGTGTAAATTTGAATAAAATTCCTCTATATGGGTATGCTTGAAGACTAGTAATAAGTCATGAATAAGAATTTAGCCACTTTAGGTTGCTTTAGATGATTTAAGGAATCAACAACCCCACTACTAATGTGAGTTGATAGAAGCCATGCTTGCCTTAAAAGTGATATCAGTCCTATGACCTATTGGTATCAGTGGGCGTTTTAAGCGTGGTAATGTCGCTACGATGCTCACGGCACGGTATCGAATCGAGTGCGAAACTGCAGCCACCCCTGGATGAGAAATCGTAGATATGAAGACCCAAGTGGTGTGGCCTTTCGTTTAGTCGCAAACTCTTTCAGCCTTGGTGTTAGTTTAAAATCGTTTTAGTAACTTAGTCGGGTTAACAGAGAGACCTTGCGGAACGTACCTGGTCCTGCGTTCTCTGGCATAGTATTCGTGATTTCTAGCAACGGACCATTGACTTAGGACATTTCCAGACATTTCGTCTGCATCGTCAGTAAGAGGCACCATCGTTAAAACAGAGTTAAAAAGAATTAAATCGACAAGTGAAGAAAATTCCTATTATCACCTTCCTCTTCAACCGTTGTGGCATCACCACTCGCCCCTATTTTTTTGTCATATCACCTAGTGCTGTATCTCGTTCTCTTAACCCCACTCCATATCACCGATTTACCTATTCATACTATTATGCATTCTCGTTTCCTCAAATGTCGCATAAGAGCGTGTCGCTTTAGGATGGTATAATTTATAAAGCATAAATACTGCTGAGTAAAATTATGGGCATAAAGAAGTTTAACAAAAGCTTTGAGATGTATTCTTCCTAATAATATCTCAATAATTATGAAAAAAGGAAAGTGATAGTAGTGACGAGATACATTAAAATAGATTATGCGCCCACATGTAACACTCGACTACTTATAGTGGAAAATGATTGAAAAATATTTTGTTCATTTTATATTTTTGTAAAGCTATCGATTTTTATCTTAATTGACGAATAAGTATAAGAGGAACGAAGAGAAGGATTAAACAAGAAAAGGAGGCTGAATTCCTAAAATAATTAGGAAAACGCGCTTCTATTTAGTTCTTACTAAATTAAATAAAAATATTTGTGATAAGAATTTTCTTTTCGAAGGGAAAGTTGCTTGGGACGAATTCATGAAATGGTCTCACCGGAACCCGAAGTAGAATTGCCGGGGATAGAAGACTGTTGGATTGTGTCAATAATTTATTGGCTGCCAGTCCTACGAGCCCGAAAAACTTTTGCTAAGCTATCGTCTGTACAGTGACAGACACCATCAGAGCAAGAATCTATACATTACGAAATAGCGCAAAAAATATACTAAACCAGAAAAAAGGGTGGCTGGCTGTAACCCTAGTCATTTTTTATACACCTATCCTTGCAATCTTAATAAAACATCTCACGCATTTGCTGGCTAGATAAAACTTTACATGAGTGAAATTAACTTATGAGCAGAAGTGGATTAGGTGGAAGCTGCATTCTTACTTAAATAAGCTGGTGTACGATCGACTGGTGTTGATTCGTGCTTAGGTATGTGGTATTATCTATTGTGTGTATACAATTTTGTCAAGAGAGATTCAAGGCAAATCCAGCCGCCTTCCCTTGCTCAGTAGCTCTTATTGCTCTCCCTCACCTTAAGCCTATCCAGCAGCCATTAATAGTTTAAGACGTATTCACCCAAATTCATTTACATGATAAGAAGATTGGTAGTTAGATTTTCCCACAAGCTACGAGTAGACCTAACATTTTCGTTGAATTTCACATAGCCTTGGCTTCCCAAAAGGCATTTGCGTCAATCTGGTTTAGAAACTTCAATAAATCCCCCAATTTTTCTCTTCCATACGACCAAACTATGAAGAAGTCATCCAGGTAACGCATCAGCAATCTTGATTGCAGCAGAGAAATTTTGACATTCTCGACTAATTATTTCATGCGGTCGTATTAGAGGAAAATTGGAAGATTTCCTGAGGTTATAAAGCAGATTAATGAGAGAAACAAATTCACAATGGAAGTAGTGGAAGAAGAGCGGTTAGCTTTGCTGGATGCTGAAGTCATTGACTCGAGGAAAGAGCTCAGAAAGAAGTAATATGCCTGAATAATATTGAATTTCGATTACCACCATAACTACAGACTAAGGATAGAAATAATGAAGAGCATGATAATAGGAAGCCCCCGATTAACAGAGGTGGGATTCTGGTATTAATAATCGGACTAATTGACTCGGATATGCCTCGGCAACGGATATCCGAGAAATGTGATACGAAAAAAGACACAAGACGTGAAAATTCTATGGTAGGACGGGAATAATGAAGAACTCATAACATTAAATATGCCTACCTTCTTGCGAACTATCTCAAAAACTAAAATCGATGTAAAGAAAATAGAATATTTAGGTAACCACGGAAGAGTTTACCCACGCAATATGAGAGGGTAAACAAAATGGATTGCTCTGGAGTTTACTGTATGGCATGCGGCGTCTGCAAACAGAAATATATTGGCGAAACGTGGATAAAAATCAGCATAGGAACCAAAGAACATCAAAGGCTCTACCGAAAAATGGATACAAACAGATA